GTTTAAGCACCTGCTTTCAAGGTTGAGTCCAAAAGCCGTGAAGCAAAGGCAACGACCACTGGCATCTCAGCTTCACTGCCTCGACTCTCAGCAAGGCACCCTCGCCTTCGGCACCTGCAGAGCCATGGGGTTCGATGGCTCCGACCGCCCAGCCGACGGTGCCCCAACAAGCGGGACCCTTGGCTCTACAGCCACAGCCAACCATGCCTCTAGAAGCGTCCTGTTTGTGCCGCGTGAGGTCGCACCCAATCTGCCTCCGCCGCAGGCTTCGTTCTCCAGGGTCGAGCATTTTCGTTAAAGGGTTCTTGTTCTTGAAACTGTACCTGGAAGTGGCGTTCTGTGAGGTACCGGTGCATCATGAATCATACTTCTTGCTGATGTATTCAAGGTGTGTGTGATGCAACAACAGAATCGGTACTGGTGGACGATCATGAACATCCAGCCACAATGCCGAGACCGAGTTTATGGAATTGCTTTGGGGACCTCGTGATGACCAGACAGGGCTAGCCCGTAACTTCGTTCACATCGAACCGGAACCCGCTCCTACAACTAAGCTATGCAAATTGCAAAACTGCCCTGTTCTTCGTCTTGCAGCCGGGAGCCAGAAGTCAATAGCTAGATGTGGTATACCTAGTGCACCATTCGGAGCTTCTGATACATCTAAAGCTAAAGCGCAGGAACTGAGAAAGAATCCATGGCAGTCAATTTCGCATTGCCAACGGTTGCCAAGGCGCCGGATTAGCAATGGTGGTGCATGCGGTCAATCTTCAGTTCCGTCAGTTGTGAAACAACGATAGCGACCACAACAGCAAGACCTCCATCATTCAACATCAAATGGTCTGTTTGAGAAGACACCATTCCTGTTTGTGCTCGATGATATTCACTTCATTGAGTACGGCTAGCGGCTATAGGAGCACGTCAGAAAGTCGTAAGCCGCTCAGCCAGCCCAGTGGTCCAGCAACGCGCAGCTTGTCAAACTCGACTTCAAGCATCTTCCTGTGCTAGCATGTTGCTTCGAATCCTTGCGTGGCAAGAGCTTCCGACACGCTCACAGTAATCTGGCCCTTGGTCGCCTCAGCCTGCCGCATCCCCGCATCCCAGCCACAGGCCCAGGCCGTGATGAAGCACTTGGATGCCCAGGTCGACAAGCTCGCCAACAGGATCCAACAGGCATGTCATGTAGAGCAGCCTGAAAAGCCCTTGTGTTCGGGC